AAACAACTTTCAACCTTTTCAAAAGTTTATGCCTTTAGATCAGCAAAATGACGAAAAAATATTCATAAAAAGTGGTAATCGTTTCCTATGACATCACGCTATATTTATTATAAACGAAAATTTTATTACTGATTCTTTTTGCCCGTCTTCGTTGCTGAATGATAAGTAAAATTAGAAAATGACGTCAAACGTAAATTAAATTTTCAACTGTTTTTCAGTGCCAACTATTAGTAACATTATTCCTTAATGATGATAAAAAATTTGAGCGTTTTCGGCTTCTGTTAAATTTAAATCCTTAATGACAATTAGCTGTCATTGCAAAGGGACAAAAGTAAAAACGTATGCAAAGAACTGTAATCCCGTTTGAGTAATTGACAGTTAATGCATATGCTATCAATCATACGATAAAGAATTCCACGGTTTATGTCAGCAATAAAAATAGGTAGACGATAAACGAGTAATTATCCAATAGAATAAATCCCAATGAAAGAAACGAACAAAGAGAATGCGATTTTTACCACAGGCTCAATCCCAGAAAGTTTATTTCCAAATAAATTTAATGGCAACTCGTTATTTTCAAGTAAAATCTCATCAGGATGTATCAAAGTAGAATAATTTATTGCATTAAGCTCAATGATCTCTGTCTGTCTATTTCTTATTCGGCTACTTCCATAGACACTGCCTCCTTTTTAATTTAATTTACTACTAAATTATAGAGAAATGGGGGACTAGACATTGCAAGAGCTGACATAATAGTGCATTTCTAATCTGTTTTCCTTTCTAGACAAAGAAGAAAGGCAGTGAAAGAATTTAATTAAGATAGACCTTGTTATAAATTCCCTTGATTTATCTTTTTCTCTCAATAACAAACCTATTAAAAATGTTAAGTTAAAAATAAAGTAAAATGTAAAAACGATAAATTTCATCGATTCAATTGATAATTTGATATTTATAAATAAATAATGTGCTATTGATTTCTTGATAGATTTTCTATAAAATAATAGCTTAGAACTACATTCAGATTCTATGGTGCATTGTTCCTTTTAATAATTTGTTATTGAATACCGTTTGAATAAGTGAAGTGAATAAACTGGGTTATCAAAAGTCCAAAGTGATGAAAATATCAGATTTTATATTAACAAACAATTGAGACATTATTGTTTTGTGTGTTGTTATATTTTGCATACAAATCAACAAACCTATAAAAATATTCCCTCAACATTCCAAATAAATTTAATGGCAATTCGTTATTTTCAAGTAAAATCTCATCGGGATATATCAAAGTAGAACAATTTATTGCATTAAGCTCAATATATCTATCTCAATACCTTTTACAAAAATTAATTCGCTATTCGTTTAATCTTAATGTAAGAACACAAGAATTCAATTTATAATAAAAATAGTCCAAGAATTTATAATATTTAGAAGAAAATAATCTTAAATATAAATTCTTGACATGTTTAATTTATTAGTTTAATAACGATCGAAGATTCATTTCAGATTACTGTATTAAAATATTTTAAGCGCTTAATTAATCGATTAAATATATACTGTATTTTTATACGTATTATATAATTTTTTTAAATATATATAGTAATACTTTTTATTTTTTTAAAATATTCGATCTCGATCTAGTTTTATGAAGTAACAACCTGTTGTAAAACAGTATAATGATATAGACATACTAAAAATGTATGTACACAGTGTATATTTTTCTTCGTGGGTATTAATTGTCAAATAATTATTCAATGAATAACTCCTAATTTTTGTGATGAGCATCTTAAGCATTCTATTATCTAGAACAAAACTCTATTATGAGATGCGCTCGCACCAAATTTATGAGAAAAAAAAAAAGATATGTGTATATATAAGTTATATTTGCAAAGTTTAAATATAAATTTCTGTTTTGCATTCTGATCTTATTTGTCTGTTGGCCAGTTTTTCCGAGATTAAATTGCATAGCAACAAAGCGAATAATTTACGATTCAGAAAGTGTTTATGCCCAAGTCAAACATTGAATATTAAGCGTTCATCGGTGCAAATATCTGTGACAAATTTATGGCATGTTTAACTATTTTTCTTGTTTCAGACATTTACATATACATAGATACGCGAGTGCATACGTGATACATATACATAGCTGTACAGTACATAGACACATATGCATATCTATGTATACGTGAGTAATCTACTTCCTCTGCGATACAAAGATTACTCGCTTAACCTATCTTCGTATTTTTTCTACAGCATGAAACATTCTTCTATTGTTCTACTTTGTTAAAAATTTCAAAATTAAGCTAACAGCGATAAATGGAACAAGTTACAAATCATTTCGTGTCGTAATATTGGAAATCTTTCTACGATTAATAGCGTATTTCGTTTTAAGTAATAACTTAAGAATAATTATTTGTGTAATAAATAGAGCATAAGCCAGTTCGTTAAACTATCTACGAATTAAATGACAAGATCCCCCGTTAATTCCAATTGATATTTAAGTTTAACCTAGAAGCTGTTTGCTATTGACTTGTTGATCCTCTGCAACTTATTTAGGCCTTCGGGTCAGGGATAGAACGGCTATGAATCATTTAAAATTTGATTAAATTTCCCGATTTTTCTACAGTCATACATATAAAATTACTCAACCCGTTTTATTTGCCGTAAAAATGTAATTTCGAAGATATAAATTTCTATAGATTGGGTAGAAGTATTTTAATGTGTCCTTTGCTTACGTGTTTGGATCATTTTCTTGATACCTTTGAATCAAGAGGTAGTTAAGACACCAGCCCAATACTCTGGGGGATCCGGAATCTAACCCGAGCGAGCCGAAAACCCCAGGAAATTTTACAGGAGATAAGTGGAGGTAGGCTTCGGATATGTCGAGCCCCACTCCTCACTGCTCGGCTGTCTCCATTTTGGGCTTGACCGAGTTCATGATGGGTATGTAAAAGAGGCCCTCGAGTCCACGATGGGCATGTAAAAGAGGCCTTCTTAGTGGACACAGAGCGGAAGAATTGAAAGAGAAAAAGAGTCAGAGGAAGAATTTTATGTAAAACTGATAACCAGAAAATAATTTACAATTATTTTAAAGGCTAATGTTTATTATTTGATTTATAATCGCCTATTTATTAATAAATTTGTAATCGTTACTATAAATAAACTCGCTGTTTTAATTTATTAGCATTAAAATGATAAGGAAAAATTCATCCTCGCGCTCTTACAATCATTATCATATTTAAGAGTTGCCTACATAAAATCATTAACAAATTTATTGGCTCATTTATATTTTACAGTCCTCGTATATAATCAAAGCGATAAAATTTTCAAAAATTAGACTTTTTTTTTCCTTTCTAATTTGGTTTTATACCAATCCTAATGTGTTTTTAATTAGACGCGAAAGTCATCACTACCAAAAAAAATTAAGAGATAAAATTACTGGCGTTAGATGTTTGTATATTTAGGCCTACGTCACTATCAAAATTTTAAAGGAGCCGAAACAAGAGCTACTATCAGAGAATTTAAAAATAAAAATAAAAATAATATAATATGAGTAAGATTAGATTATTTATGTATGTAAGCTCGACACATAAAACTATCAGCATCCCAATTAATCTTAATTAACAGATAAGGATAATGGTGTAATGTATTAAATTAACTGAAAAATTTAATTGTTTGACGACTGTTAATGAGAAAAAATGAAAAATTCCTGTTATTTTTATGTTTAAAAATATGGAAATCTTTCACAATATCATGAATTTTAGATCATCTCGAGTAGAAGGCCTTGGCACGGTGACGTTGCCTAGTATCTTACGTTGATTAATAGTTTCCCTTTGCCATGTAATGCTATTGTATCTCGGTAAATTAGCGTTACTCGCTTTTCTAGTTTAAATTTGGCAAGATGTTAAGATTAATTAAGCTAGAAGACCTTCCACACAAAAATTTAGTTTGGAACAAATCGCTCATGATTGATATTTTGCTGGAATTATAAGGACAAAAGAGAAAACAGCCAATAGAAAACCGGACTTTATTCACGATTAACAATTACAACAAAAGATTAAAATGGCCTTTTCTTTTCAAAAGAGATTGGATAGAATTCAGATATAAGTTACATCATTAAAATTTATAAAATAAACAAATTATAATAGAATTATTGTAATACAGCATTAGCATTACAAACTATTTCACTAGCAGCAACGAGTAATATGAGATTTTAGGTTTAATTCCGGATCCGACTCGCAATTGGTTGGCCATCGTGGGTGAGGAAAGGAATGCACCCTGATCCGGATTACCCACCAAATACTATCTGATTGGATTCAAATCTCGTTTATTCACCGTATTAGGGGAATTCTTTTTAGCGCAACTAGCGAACGAATAATCATAATAAATATTAAAACTGATTTAAAATACTTTTAAATACTACGTTCTGACAGAAAAGCAAGTAGGCCTAATATATTTAAGACCACAAAGGCCTACAGTATATAAAATAAAATACATTATACAATATACATTACAATGACGTGTAATGTATACATAGTAAGTTATATACAATAAAGATATTATTTGCTTAATGTATTGTTTAATATGATGTGATGAGCGGCATTTTATTTACTGACAAACGTTTTAATTAAAATATTTTTATTATATAAATTATTTATTTATATTTTGCTATTTACTGATGATAATTATTTTAAAATTCTGTAAAAGAAAACATTTATTCTGGATAAAATTTCAATGAAAGTTTTATTCGATTCTCGTGAAAAGGAAAATAAATTTACTTAATTAGGTTACTTATATTTATTGTTTACTTATTTATTTTTTTAAATAATATATGACGACAGCGCGCTAATAGAAGAATAACACGTTTAAAAGCTTTCACATATATAAAATAATTAGAATATATGTTACTTGTAACGTGGATGACGTCAAATTTGTAGGCTCGAGACTCGATAAAACAACTCGGATCACGTGATTGCCCGACAACACTATATGAATGACAGGCGGACTGCGATTGGTTGGCCCGTTGGAAGTAGGTTCGACGTCGGATGTAGATGTGTAGTGAGTGAGGGGACGAGTGCGAGAGAATTGTTTGCCAAATGTCTTATTCCATTCGGTACATAAATAGACAGGTTTAGCCGGAAGATTTGGCCTCCAGACAGACGATGATGGGTTCGTCTAGTTTGAGATGGTCCGTTGTAGTGGTCTTCCTCGTCGAATTGGGTTGTCTGCTCAGCAAAGCCTTCAAACAACCGTCCAGATCCACTCATCTGCGCTTGATGCACAACTTTTCTAATTCGACGGCATATTTCCTTGAGAATGACTACTATATAACAACTAACAACATGAAAGGTGAGATACTTTTTCCAATTATTTTTCCTATTTAATATTTAATTATATTTACTAAGCATAATACTGATATATTATCCTACATATTTGACTGTTTTCAAAACAGTATAATTTACATTAACACCGCATTGGCAACCGAGTTAAGCAATAAACGAGATTGGGCATATTGCCTGAATGCTATTTCGTTTAGGAAATTATGATGTGTCTTTTTCCGTCATGTCAGAAATATTTCAGTTTAACTTCATGATTCGTTGAGTTGCTAATTTTATTAGAAACTCAAAATATCTAACTAATCACTTATAATTTTTTCCCTTGCATAATAAAGCTAATATTAGCTTCTAATGAGTTGGGCTTTTTCCTATAAATATTGATTTTATGAGCCAAATTATATGCTATCAAAAGCGCTCATACGTATAAGCTATAGATACAATTATTCCTTCAAAAAATCAATACGAGATAAGAGGCTCTTTCTAGTGTTTCCCTGTCACGCACTGTCCCCCGTGAAAAAAACAGACCCAATCAGTGAGTGAGCCTCTCAAGGACGTTGTAAATGTTGTATACCTCCAGCAATGGATGGAGGCACGTGTTTCATACTGCAGCATAATTGAGAGACGGGGAACAATAGAAACTATCCTCCGTCATGTCCAGAAACAGGTTACCTTTTCTATTGTCGAGAAAGCGGCGCGGCAACTATCAACACGGGGGGGAGGAAAAAATTCAAAATTTACAAGCGCCTAGTTTAAAATTACGACTTTATTCTTGGCGACATCTTCCCATTGATTATAGATCTTCGTATCCATTGCTTATACCAAAAATATACTCCCGATCTAAATTATCTCAGAGTTTTCTCAGAGATTTTCGGCTTTAAGAAAGAGGCCCTCATCTTTACGAAGTTGACAAGATGTGAAGGGACAAAACCTGATTGGATTACCATTAAGAACTTGCTTCAAAATCGGTTTGAATGATGAAAAAGATTGATTAAATTTTTAGAAAACTTATATTAGATTAAAAATAATTAATTGAAATAAAATTTTTTTTGTCTAATTTATAAAATAATAAATAATGAAAAATTCAGTTAAGTTAACGATTAGAATTAGCTCAGTGTTTAGTTTATATCAGTAAGGAAATATTTTCATTGCTTAAATTGCGTCGACTGTTAATAAAGGCTCATGTTTATTTAACCCTCAAAAAATTATTAAATATTCATTTATTAAACGATTTAAAAATGTCGATATAGAAACATCCGTTTTTCTGTTGGCTGTACTCATCCATCTTATGCATCCACCCAGTAGCTTATTAAACATGATAATATTTTCAAAGAAGTTCGATGGGTGCACTAAAAATCCGATTGGTGACGCATAATGATGACGAATGCGGTCTTTTGCTTTGCTTTCCTTTCTGCCTTAAGCTGTTAAAATTTAATGCCTTCAATAACAATTATCGATCACGTGGTTTAACTCAAGTAGACTTAAATTCATTCGAATATCACCGAAATTATTGCTTTAAAACGCTTTACTAATATAACAATTTCAACAAAATGGATAGATTATATAAGATGTAAGATAACGTAATTAAGCACTTACAATAGTATATTTTAATTCATTTTTTTTATTATATAATGAATAAATTTGTCTGGAATACATCATTAATAAAAGAGGGAGAGAAATATCATTTTAGTTACGTTTGTTAACGCGTTAATTAAGCAATGCTACAGAATAAAGTTCATAACATCATGCCTATGTGGTAAATAACGTCTCGAACGTTTTATACTCTTCATAACATATATGTGATACTAATTAAAATGACTCATTAAAATTCTCATACCAATGTCGATCGACTTACATTTAAACATGACTTTATTTATGAAGGGATCGTGGATCTGATAGAAGTATTCATAAATTATTCTCTTCATGAGTCAGGCACCTTGTTGTATTAAGAGAACAACATCAGTTTATTTCATTCATTGTATATCTGGCAGTATGCAGGTGCTGCGTTATAGATGCTATCGTTTCATCATTAATCTACCTCGCCTTTCCTCTATCTCTCTCATCCATCAAAGCTGTGGGGATTAATACTCATCCAACTCGTGACTGCTCCTCGAACCGTTGCTATGCCTTAAAACTCCATTAAATAAAACGCACTTCACTGATTTTGTGAAGTAAAACGTTCTTTCTAATGAGATGGCAAACAAAAGCAACTTCGACGGAAGTTTTTATTTATTTTTATTTTTTGTTATTTTCCTCTACACATCGAATCGGTTAATTGTTAAATAAAGTCTGCTATGTTAGAGCAAATTCCTCTTTTTATGAGATACTTATTTATGTCTTTCGTATAAATCAGTCGGAATGGCATTTATTGGATTTTATCTCCGAACGTGTCACGTATTTTCCTTGTCCGTTTTATGGAGTTTTCCTCGGATGTCAGAGAATACTATTGAAATGAATTGCGATCTTGTCAGGAAAACATACGACGATGACCCTCGTAAATAATCTTTATACATTTTCCCATTGTAATAAGACTTAGTCTAATGTATTTAAGGCGATGAAAAATTTTCATTACCTATAAAATAATAACTGAGCGAATGGACTGCTCGCGGCTGTGTTTGATTCCTTAAAAACTTGAAAATCGATACACGTACTTGTTTTCCTGTGATGTAATAATTACATATTTTTAATTGCGATTCATTCTGGACGGAAGGAAAGAGACAGCTCGGTTGCAGCCAATCATAAAGTGACATTTGGCTGAATTCTTCGGCAATGTGCCAGAGTTGAAGTTTCCAAACTTCACTCCAGACATCGAGGAAACAAAACCTTTTTATCCTTGACGCGTACCCAATATACTCTCATTGCTTAAAAAGAATTGTATAAAAATTATAATTTTAAATTTAATTTCTCAAAAAATCCAATAGGTCTAGTGATATATTTTAGAACTTTACTGTTTTAAAAAAATTAGAGTTGTATTATTTATTCGCAAAAAATTTACCTTTTTTACTCAAGTTAATTTAATTTAAATTCAATATTTGCTTTATTACTTTTCACTATTAATATAGAAAAATGTATTATCTTTCCAATAATAATCTACATTCAAATTTGGTTGTTGGAACTTTGTTTATATAAACTATTCTTGTTACAGTCATAACAGCCAGTATCAACACTCGCATAATAAAATAATTAACCTAAATACAGTAATATAGAATATAGATTTATATTTAAGTTATTTAAATATTTATAAGATTTATTCTTACTACTGTATACCGAAATTTGGAACAGCATGAAGATAATTCAGAAATGAGCCTATGTTATTTGATTAACTTTTTTAATACTGCATATTTATTTATTTTAAAAAATAACAAAAGTTGATTTAAATTGTCTGGTTATAGATTAGTTTGGTTTACGCTCCGACAATAAAATAAGCTATTTTTAAAAAGAAAATGCTTGTAATAGAGATGCATTAACGAAAATACTCGACGTCGTGTTTGTTTAACTTGTCTTTAAGCATTTGGATTTACACGAACATCAGACAGGACGATGGCATTTTCATCTCCGAGAGCAACAACAAATCAGCGCCAAGGACATTATGAAGAAGACACATCAACTACATTAATAAATGCCAAAGGTCACTTATGTTTTCGCATCTTGTTATATTATTAAAACGTCTTTTTCGATTATTATTTTACTTCGGAAATTTCTACTATGAAAAGCAATTACTTATATTAAAATCTATCAATTATTTTTTGAGTGATCGTCGATGGCAAAGATAATCTTTCTTCCTAACTGGGATTAGGAGAAAATCTCGATGGACGGTGCATTGTCAGAGAGGAAAGTGACGCCCACGCGTGACTGGAAGTGTGATACATTGACGTGACTCTCGATGTTTTCTCTCACCTGACATTGGCCTGCCACTCGCTCTGCAGGTGTGTCGAGTCGGTCCCAGCTGCTGCTGAGAAATAGGTCAGTGGCCGCTGGCACCGATCGTCTGGCCACCGTGCCTAGCACCTGTAAAGATTCTATGTTTTCAGGTGTTTTTCCAAGATTTCCGAAGAAAAAATTTAATAATTTTATTTATTTTTCAGATGTGCAGCTTGGTTGTAAGGAGTTGCGCTCGAAGAAATACATATCGGATGGATATTGTACCTCTATTAAGCCTGTAACCGAAGTTGTGTGCGCCGGAATATGCCTTCCAGTGGCGGAACTTCCATGGTACACAGAACTGGTCAGCAGGAGGAGTCGGACACGTTCCTCCGAATGGCGATGCGTTAATGATTTAGTCCGTCATAAGCGGGTTCATTTGATCTGTCGTTCGGGTGATCGAAGGACATACAAGATAAGAGTCGTCCGATCTTGCAAGTGTAAGAAATTCCAAAACCACAGCAAAACTTTAAAGAACGATATATGAGCGTGTCATTTACTGATTGATTGAGAAATTTGCCATAATTACAGATAGTGAACTGCACAACTTACGAACATATTTTTATATAGGCCTATAAAAAACGCACTGTCGAGATGAAGGACTGGAAGACAAAGCCAGGATTGTTCTCTTTCGAAACTCTTTCTATAGCTCGTGCCTTTTTTTCCAATAACGAGCCTGATGTAAATAATGTATTATCTATTACGTATATATCATATATGTAATCTTATGAAATATAGAAAATATTTTAAAATTCAATTCGATGCTTACTTACGAGGTTTTCTTTCATAATTAGGAAGTAGTTTGTTTAAAGTTAATAAGATAATTTAAGAACTTCGACATAAACAAGTTAAAAATAATTGGTACTTTATCTCTATCTTAATCATTTTGGTTTATATATAAAACTTTCTTAAGATTACATTACGTTCGTATAATAAAAACTTATGAGCTTAAAAGTTATATCAAGAGATTTATTATAACTTTAACAAAGATGAAATATTACCCAAAAATCATTCAAAATGCTTGTAAATATTAATTTCACTTTTTATAATTCCTAGTCAATTATCCTTCTACATTTGTAATCCAAGACTCGTATCTAACGATTGTATACCATAATGTGCTCCACCCTTGCTTACGTAGTCGAGCTGCCACGTGCTTTACAACTTAATGAAGTGTCATAAATCTCTGACTGGCATGAGAAATGAGTGAATTGTAAATCCACTTAATATGATTTACAAAGTTGGCTAAATTAATTTTGTGGCAAATCGCAATTAATTTTTCCGGTAGTCAACGCAATTCTAGAAAAACTCCAGAAATATCCATCTAGTTCGTTATCGATGCTACTACATCTATCACATTATAATAATATTATTATTATTACAATAATTGCTAGTGTTGTAAAAGAGTCAGGTGTGGATAAAACGTTTATAGAAAATTATTTAAGATTTATGATTCTATTTTAAAAAATTTTTTTGCCGAGTTCTACTATGTTATTGGGCAAATATCCAAAGATTCCATAAATTTCGGCATGCTTTAAAAGCGATTTATGTAGTAGAATATATGTCTACTACTTATGAGCCATCGGGCCATAAATAAATGAAAGTCTTGGCTCCTTAAAGTGTGTCAAATTATCATCCTAGTAGTAGATAATGTGAGAACTAGAAGAGGATGTTTTAGACATAGCTCGTGGCCATATCTTTCATGTATCGCGTACTAGAAAATGATAAACAGCCAGTGATAATATACAGTAATAAGCAGTTGTCGTCATTGGCGTAAAAGCCAAGAATAATGACTTCGTTTAGCTTAGCATATGTAATATAAACAAATATTTAATTTTATTACACGATGCCAATTGAAGCAAATACTTAAAAATAAGTGTATATAATTCCATTTGGCAGTTTAAATATAAATATAATCCATGCCATTCTACATAATTCATTGGTCGGTTGCACTGTTTGTTTAACAAAGTCTACAGATCTTTAAAATTGGCAACTTAATCGCCAATTTGTATTCTAGATGGATGCGGGATAACTAACCATCACGTGTCTCTTTTAGAGAAATCGGGCGGAGTCGGTCTTATCATTGAAATATTACCTTCACTAATTACTCTATTGATGCAACAGCTTAAACACCGTAATGGTTCTTGTGTTCTCCTTTCTGCCATGCTCAAATTCCAGAAATTTGATAATTATCAAGAAACTCTCTTATCTCTCGTTGAAGAAAAGAGATCGGTGATAAAATTGAGACCTTTACTAAAGTGCTGCCATCTCTTATCTAGATGTAATAACGGCATTTTGAAAAATAGTATTCATTATATTTTTAAGTGATGATAAAATTACTGTATATAGCCTACTTAGTAAATAATTTTAGGTTACTTTTTTCTACGGGTAATTATGGTAATTGACAATTAAATCGTTCATTTTTGTAGTTTTTACATACATTTATTGACAAGTGGATATATTGTATTGTAGATTTTTAAAAATTTTTTTCAAAAATAAATTAATATATAACACAATTTTTATAATAAATAAAAATTTGGATGTATTAACAATATCAAACAGCTATTGATTAATGTTCATACAGGCCTAATAAACTTTTCCAAAATATTTTTCATATAATGAATGTTAGTTTAAGCATACACAAATTCTATTGGAATTTAGAATATCTTCAATGAGATAATCAATACTATAGCAATTTATATTACGTGCTTTGTCTATTCTTTGATAAAATATTTTAACGCTACAAGTCGTTAGTAGGCTTTATATCTTTTTAATTTTCATTCTTTGAAATTTTACGAACGTCCTTCTTGCCAAACCTGTAATTATCTACAGAAGGACAAAGATAACCGTTCAAGGTTTCAGCAATGGACTTCGGAAAATTCTGTGAATTTGAAAAAATTTGATGACATTAGTGAATGATATTGGCACACAATGTTTAATTTTTACATATCAATTAAATATTTTAACAGTAAAACAAGAATAAAAGAGAATAAAATCGAGAAAATTTTGATTTTATGTCAATTTGATTAAATTTAGATACATTTTCGTAAAAGCCAATCAAAATTAAACTGAAAGACACGCACCAATCCTTGAATTTATGATAATTAAAAGATAATGATTAAACCAAGCAAAAGGATGACGTGCTGACCAGAATAACGTGATCGGGATTTTAAAAGACGTTTGGTCGTCCCCCTTGGGACATTGTCAAATGACAAGATAGAGAGATTTATGAGGTATCTACTTTAACCCTCTCTCTCTGTCGACCAATACTTTATCAATATGTAGTTGAATATTGAACGACGACAAAAATGACACTCGACGAGATAAATGAGTGGAATGTCACATTTGCCGCCTTCTGATTTTATAAAATATTAATTGGTTAATGCTGGAGAAATTACACCTTCCGTATAATTATTATCAAATCTTGTTTAAAACGCGAAAGAACTCATTAGTCTATTTTCATTCTGGTTTGTGTCCGTAACTATTAATTTAGACGTAAGTGCACATTGTTCTGATTACTTCTACAATCATTAAATTTTTATTTTTATTTTAACTACTTTTTATAAGTACCAATTTCGTTAGCTTTTTAATTAAAGCAATAAATCATTCTAATAAATTGACTTAATAAAGTTAAACTTTAAATAAATAAGATAACGAAAAAATTATGATAAAAATCAGGGCTAAACGTTACATTTCTTCAAACATTTCATGTATCATTTTACTTCTTAGTCATTACGTTATAAAATATAAAATACATAAAAATTTTGCAATTTCTTTTGTAATGACCATTATAAAGATTTATTTTTTTCAAGTTGATTTATCAATATTATTCATTTTCCTACGCACGAATCTATATTTTATTATATCGAATTTTAAACTACAATTACACTCTTTTTAATAATTATATAGGCCTACTGTAAATAAAAATATTTTACTATAATTCAAAAACGAATTAATATTAATAAAATTACTTGTTTCCAAATTTCAATATTGTATATAAATTTAAAGTTAATTTATTGTTATTTGGCACAAAGCCTTATTAGAATGAAGTGAAGAGTTAATGATAAACAAAATAAAAAGATTCATTGACAAAAAAGCTACGCACCAAGAAGGGAGAGTTGGAATCGAATGAAACTTTATTAGTGCGAATGCGATGACGATGGTAATAAGTGATTACATTTTTCTATGCAATAATTATACAATTTAAACAAACCTTTAGTACCTTGTACGGCCTCCTCTTTCTTGGATATAGGCCTATACAACAATACAGTCGGGCATGAAGACATTCAGGCACCATATGCTGTCCTGTGACAGATTTTCCCGTAGATGCTGCAACAGTCGCTCTAGATAGCCTACCTCATACTCGTAGACAGTCGAAACTGGCATTCCATCTACTAGTCCCACAAATACTCAATGAACGACCGGGCAGGCCAAGGGAGTAACGTGACGGAGACATCTCTCCGTACCGTGTGTAGCCGAGCATTATCTCACTGGAAAATGTTTATTAGCAGCAATGCCTGAACTTTAAGAAAATTTTGAAAGGCAACGTTCAAGGAAATCCTGCACCCTCAGGAGTGTGCAGGACTTCTTGAATGTACTACTATTCCGTCAATATACTTCGCATTGTTCCTAGAGGAGACCGACTGTCAAACGAGATGGTTTCCCAAACCAATTTTCAATTTGTTTGGGTTGTTTGGAGATCTTCGAATCTGGGGTTCAAAGATCTCCAAACAATAGGTACACTGAAAATTCTGACACACAGTAAACTCCTGTGAACCTTTTTATAGGATATAGGGTAGCGATTTTAAGGCACTCTGAAGACATTACTTTTCATGCAATCGGACCACAACCGTAATCATTTACATACCTGTCTAAGACATAGCTGTATGCCGAGTTTTGCAGCAATCGAACAATTTGGCTACGTAACTTTTTTCTCAATGAGTGTATACGCACTATAGAAGTATATGAGACCTTTACAACAGATTAGTTTTTAAATACAAATACCAAGACAAGTAACAAATGAAATTAGTCTGTCTGCAAAGCTTACACTCGAAACACATATACAGTATATAATAATTTTCCAATCCATTTTATTAATATAAGTATCACTTTTCATAAAAAGAATACTGTATTTAAAATAGTTTGTAATTTTTTCAAAGTCCTCTGTAATGAAATTACAGAGGGCAAAATCAAATAAAATAAGGCATATATTACAATCCAAAGATATTTTTAAAATTTTAATTATTAAAATATATAGTCAATCATAATAATTATATTTTGCTTCTTTAATGAATTGTAAAGATGATGGTTCTTTAAGAAATTTTATAATTATAATCAACCAAACATCTCAATTTATTTACTCTATTAGAATTTTGATCATCTTTATGTAAATCTTTAAAAGTTTGAGACAGAATCATTATCACATGTTATCTTATGGGAAAACGTACTGACTGAAGAAAAATGAACAGTTGTTATCACGACAATGATTAATGAGGAAATATCGGAAAATCATGCGCAAACCAATCGCTAAAAAGATTAAGTTTGCATCAAATGAGGGTTTTTTCCACGTTTAGTATATACCTAGTAGTATAAGTATTCAGTTCATGTTAGGTTTTAGTGAACCTCTGACCTTGAGATCCATTTGAATAACTTTCAATCATTTCGAATTCATAATACCATATATTTACAAATAAGGAAAAGTTGAATGCCCGTAACAAAATTAATGAAATTCGTTACCAAAGTTACAAGAATAAAACATTTGTTATCTAACGGCTAGTGATAAATTAAATTTATGCGCGCTTTAGCAAATCTGTTATAAATCAAGACCAACTTTGGCTTATTCTCTGTTTAATAACTTTCCTCCGAAAATATGTATTTGGAAGAAATTAAATGAAATCTTTGGATAAATTTTGATTTAAATAATCATTGCACTTATTGATAATTTTTCATGATAAATCGATATTATAAATATTTTAATATTTATCATTATCTTTCTATCAACTTTTTCAAAAATTCCAATAACTCGTGGCTTCATTAAAATTGACAATAAAGTTTTAATACTAAAATAAAACTGCTTAAAACCATTTGGTGAATAATATCAGACATAATCCTTTCCAAAATTATTCTGTATGATACATGTTTTTATTTATGGATATTTTAATTCAATTTATTATGTATTTAGTTACTACTCTAAGTATTTAAACGGAAGATGAATAATACATCTTGAAGAATGTGGGTGTGTAAAGAGCTGAATTTTGAAGGTGATGATTGAAATACGTGACAAGGAAAGAAGATCCGCATTCTGACTTGGAAAGTTCTTTCAGAAATGACATAGAAATAAATCGGGAAGAATATGAATCGTATCAAGAACTACTATCATTAAGACAATATTAGTAAGCAGCGGATGATCTTTTCGTAAACAGGCATTGACCGGTATAGCTGCCTACTATTAACCCGTTTGATAAATAGTGAATCAAGCCGACCTCATTGAATATAAAAGATCTGATTTTAGATAAATATTGTGGTATTATGCAGTCGAGTTCTCTCATAAAATTTGATTGATCACACTACTTTAGTCTATACTCTAAATTAAGTTAATAGATTCAGAATTTCGCTGAACAAATCAGATTTAAGATTTACTCCAGGTGTAAAACTACAGCCAATTCGATCTATGCCAAAAAATGAAAATTAGTTCTAGATATTAATAAAATATAAACGCAGCCAAAATATTGGAAATATGTTTAAAATAAATTATACGCATTTATTTAAAATAATAATAATAATAAAATTAAGAGAGAATGGAGCAAGATACCATAGCTACTTACGCTACCTTATATTGTTTCATTATGTAAAAATAATAAAAAAAACTCCTTTGCTGTTTTTGTTTTATACAGTAACTTAAGAATCCCATATATAGGATGCAATAGTCATATAGTTATTATTCTATATAAAAATTCTAAAAGATATGGAAATACAGTAATTAGATCTCTATACAATTTATTGTGTTTAAAAAAATCAAAATACAGATGGTTTAAAACTGACTCAATATAGTATTTTAATTTTATAATGGATTCTTTATTTAAGCACGAAGACGAAGTGTATTTAGCAAAGTTTGCGAAAGAATTACAAAAAGTGCAATACTGTATATTGCTTTTATATATATATATATTTATTGTAATATATTGGTTTTACATTATGAAATCATATTTTATTTCAAATATTTAACATATATTTTATTAATAATTATGTATGATAATTTATAGCCAAAATATCTACTGCGCATAATTGCTTTTATAATTTCATTACAAAAATGCTATTAATGTCATTTGTCAGCCAATCACGGCGAATCGGTGAATTCCCCTTTC